TCCGCCAGGCAGCGCCGCTGGCCCCGCCGCCGGTGGAGATGGTGGCGGAGGTGCCGCCACCTCCTCCGCTCCGCAGCCATTGAATCCCAATTCTCCCCTCCCCCTCCTGCTTACGCCGCCCCGTTTCCCTTTTCGTCCGACTCCTACTCCGATCACGTGCTCTCCCCCTACGGCCTCGACGACGCGGCGATCAAGACTCTACCGCTCTCCATTTTCTCCAAATCAAAAGCAAAGCAACCGGCCTCAACAAATCGGGACTGCGCAGTCTGTCTCTTCGAGTTCGAAGACGGCGAATGGCTCCGCACCCTACCGATCTGCAGTCACGCCTTCCATATCGAATGCATAGACGTCTGGCTCCGATCCCACCCCACCTGCCCTCTCTGCCGTGCCGCCATCTCCTTCCGATCCGAATCTCCATTCATCCCCATGCGAGCGGCTCGCATCCGCCCTAGCTTCGACGACATCGTCCTCGAACATCCGGCAGCAATAGATCCAGCCTCGCCGATTTCGGAAGAAAGGGGGAGGGGCTTTCCCCTAAAGAGATCCTACTCCTTCGGATTCGAGCGGAGCGTTGGCGCGGAACGGATGGTGATGGAGATTACCGCGGCGGCGACCGTATCGCCGGCCTGGGGACTCCGGCATCAGCAGCACCAGGGCAACCATCATCAGCATCGAGGTTTTTGGAGCAAGCGGTGGGCGTCGCCGTTCGGAAGCGGGGGTGGTTCGGCGAGACCGTATTATAATCGGAGATCGCCGTTTGTTCGGCGATGGGGATTCGTGCCGCTATCCGGAGGCGGCGGTGGGGCGGTGGGTTCTTCAACGGCGGCGATAGGCGGGAGGAGGAGCAGATCGATGACGAGTCCGTCGGCGATGGGGATGGGGAGAGCGCTGGGATTTTCGTCGAGCCGGATGAGGTGCGGGGATCCGGAGGCGCTGATTTCGCCGGAGAGGTTTAACCGGCGTTAACCGGTTGGTAGGGCGTGGGGGGACCGGGAGTATCGGGTGGCCACCGGTGAAGATGGCTGCTTAATGGCGAGTGGGATGGGAGAATTTAATGAGCTGCTGGGGAGCTTTAAATGAGAGAGAGAATAAACGGTGGCGATGAGAGAAGGGAGAGATGGGCGGCGCGATTTGAAGAAGCATTTATTTTAATTTTTTAAAAAGTCTGGGGCTCCGCTGACTGACTGCAGATGAATTCATATTTGTATGTTGGCAATTAATGCGATATTTGTTGAGGATTTTTTATTTACAAATTAAGGATTATCTTTTATTTTGTTTATTTTTTTAAAAATTTTCACTCATATATTAAATATTTAGGATCATATGAAATATTGATGTTTATAAATTATGTATTGATCTAGAATTTGGTAAAGATGGAAAATATGGGTTTATGTTTTATCATGAATTTTGATACGTTAAAATTCAGAATAAAATACTTCTTTGATATGAATGAGATATAAATAATACTTACAAGAATCTTATAATAGAAAAAATAATAAAAAAAAATGATTTCAAAGAAAAAATATATTAGCTGATATTTTTAATAATTAATTAATATTAATTATTATTAGATATAGAAAATAACATAAAATAAGAAAATGAATAATTTTTAATCTAAGAAAATAAATATAAAATAGGAAATGAAATATTTTCTTATATTAAGAAAATAATTTTTTTCTTGTAACTTTTTATAGGAATAAATTATTTCTTATTATAATTCTTAGCACTCCCCCCTCAAGTTTCGAATGTATGTTAATAATTCCTAACTTGTTGGGTAGTGAAGAAAAATTGATGGTTTGGATAATCGAATTTGTTAGATTCAAGCTTGGCTGAATTTTGAGTTTTGTCTGTCATATGTTTCGACATTGAAGAGAGATTCAAACTTGACTAAATTTGTTGGATTCAGGTTTGGCTGAATTTTGAGATTTGTCTGTCATATTTTTCGGCTTAGAAGAGGGATTCAGGCTTGGCTGAATTTGTTGGATTCAGGTTTAACTGAATTTTGAGTTTTGTCTACCATATGTTTTGGCGTAGAAGACAGATTCATGCTTGACTGAATTTGTTGGATTCAGGCTTGACTGAATTTTGAGTTTTGCAGGGAAAGAGACAACCTACGGGAAAACTGACTTTTAGTTGACTGCAGTTGTCAAAAAAAAAACATGTAAATCACACCTAGTAAATTCTGCTAACAGAGAAAGCAACTGAAGAAAGAGCGGCTGAAAATAGAGCTCCCCCTGACGCTTGGGCCAGGAAAGAAAAAAAATACTACAAGAGAAATGACCGGTTGCAAACGCAGCTCCTCCTAACGCTTTGACATGGAAGAAAAATACTGCAGGAGCCCTGACGCTATAGCAGAGAAGAAAAAAATATTGCAGAAGGAAGGGTGATTTTGCCGGCATAATGCACGAGCTTTGACGCTTTGACAGGGAAGAAAAAAAATACTGTGTGAGGAAGGGCTACGATGGATTTTGCCGACATTGTTCGATCAACAACGGCGATATCTCTGGCGAGATGATGATGAGGCGGGTGGCGACATCGCTGGTGTCGCCACAGCTGGAGCCCCATCGCTTGTGCCGGCATAGGATGATACAACACAGGAAGTTTTTTTTTTTGGATGGTTTGTGATGATGTCTGACCAAACTCCAAAGCATCTTTGCTATCATGGTTTCTTGGGAGCCGTGTACATAAGTGAAGTAAGATCCTCCGATTTTCAGAAAGACCTCGGAGAAGGAGAATCTTGAGAAACTAGGAACCCTTTTTGTCCTTGGTTGTAGTGACGACAGCTTATCCCCGGAGGCAACCGGTTCTCCTGGCAATGATGAGACCAACCTTTTGCCCGGGCGGGGCATTGCAGCGAACGGTTGATGTGTGGCTGATATGCTAGTGGTTTCCTTCTCCATGGGAATGCTCCACAGGGTTCATGACAACACTGCGGACCTTCGGCAAACAGTTACGCTTCACCTTGTACTTATGGTAAGCATTGTTGGCTTTGAGGAGAGGCTTCTTCGTTCTGCCACCACCGGCGACCTGGCCGATCATGGCTCAACATCCACTGAGAACTATCTTCTTAGTGTCAGATAGGAGCTTGATTTAGAGGTCTTGTTATCAGAGTTATGGCTGATAACGATAGCGTAATCTCCCGAAGCCCTCACGAGCATACCATGATCCTCAACATGGTGCTCAACGTTGCATACAACGGCACCCTTCGGGATCGAGCGGAGGGGTAAAACGTTTCCAACCATGAGAGAAGCCTTACGGCTGCAGTACACGAACTGGCCGGTGTACATGCCTTCTGCGGTGACGAAGAGCTCCTTCTGGTGCTTGTAGCGGAACGGGTGGCGAAAGGTTACGTGAGCGAGCGGAGCTCTGCGGCTGGAAACGTGGATGACGTCGGTAACCATGCCCTTGAGGTATCCATTGCGCTCGTTGAAATTGAGGCTGCGAAGTGTGGTAACAGCCACCAAGGATGGTAACAGTCACCAGGTTGGTTTGTCACAAAAAATAATAATAAACAAATAAAATCCAAAAAAAAGTTACATTAGCCCAAACCACACAAATTCATAAAGTTCTACATGGTAAGTATAACTTTTATCAATAGATTTACTAAATATATCATTAGGAATATGGGACCTAACTATTTAAAGAAGAAAACAAACAAACAGAAAGCATACAAATTCAATTGCTTGAAGAAGTCGACGACACATTCCTTGGCGTCTATTCATACTCCTTGTCCCAATGAAAGGCATTTCAGATAGGTTGCAATTGGAAGTTGTAACACTAGCAGCCAGTCATAAAGAGCATCGTTGGTGCTTGCAAGAATGTCAATTGGCCACAAATTCCTAATTTGGAAGCTTTAATAATAGTAGTTAGCTACAATGACTATAGTTGCTACCTGCAAGAGAGTCGGTTAATTATAGAGGTCGTTGTTGTAAGTTACAATAGCGGTAGTTGTCCTTAAAAGTCTTAGTTGGTTGTTTGAACCCTTTTGCTAAGACATTGCGAACTAGGTTATAGTTGTACACCAGAGACACCACTTGTCAGTATACAATGTGAGGAAAAATATCAGTGTTATGGAAAATGTCATATTATGATTATGATAGCCATAAGCAGTGATTGTTGTATTCAAAAGCGGGTAGTGTCGATGCCTAACGGTGGGAGGAATTTAATCGTGATCAGTGGCTACGACAACTAGTAGTTATCACCGAACTTCAATATTCTGTGTTGGATGCTACAACCATATTTGGAATATGATGTTTGTACACAAGGGTTGTCAATAACTGATGGTCGGCAGCAGCGATAGGAGGTGATAGGCGAAGAAGGCAAATAGGCGGTGGTCAAAGGTGATTGACGTCTACATAGGCTTGCAATTATTCTAATGTCTTTCATACAAGTTTTTAGATGTTACAATCATATTTGGATACGATGTTTGCAAGCAGGACCAGAGGTTACTGGCAATTAGTAGTAGGTGACGGCCGATTGTGTTCTACAACTGTCAAAGGCTATTGAGAGCTATGGAGGTCGGTAGTTATCTTCATGTCTTCAATACGGGTGTAAGACATTACAATTATATTAAAATACGTTGTTTAAAAGTGTTGGTCAGCGACAACAGGTGGTGATAGCCGATTGTGGTCGGTGGTTACAGAGGCTGATAGTTATTGAAAATTCTTTTCTCGGTAACGGGGTTTGAAATTTCTCTTCTCCTCCTATGAAGAGAGAGAGTCTATTTTGGGGCCTTATTTGAGGGAGTGGCGGACTATATGACTTTTTAATATTGAATGTCTCAATGAACTCATAACTTAGCAATCTAGACTCGTTAGACTCCTCTCGTTAGTACAATTGATTTGATTATAAATCAGTCGATATTGGAGTTCATTTGATATTTTAATTGACAATCCAAAGCACACAAATGTGTTTTATTGCATTGATATTGGTATGATTAAACTCGAATTGAACCAATTTTAATATCATTAGCTTCATCTCGTCGAGACGGCCAGTTATGTTGAAATCAGGGCCCAAATGATCATAAATTTGAATTTATAATGTTTATTGCTTAAACTTACATCAAGATGCATGTTAGATAAAAATAACTTGATGGCGCAACAGTTTAATTTTTTTTCTTTATTATTAATATTAAAAGCATACTTATTAATTATTTTAAAAGTATATATAAATAAATGTATTTTAAAATTGGGATAATTACATACTTAGCACAAGGAACGTCGATATTTACAAATCAAGCACCTATGTCATTTTTTTAATCATGAAATTAGTGCAGTTATACGTGTCAAGATTAAATAATTGTGAATTTAATAAAAATAAAAAAAATGGGTTGGGATTTTATAAAAATGTTTCATTAATATATTGTTTGTACAGAAATTTATAGATTTATAGAAACTTCGAAAGTAGGAATGAGTGGCAATTGGGACGCCGTGATTGAACATCCAGCTCCATAGGATCATCCACCTCCTCCATAGGATCATCCACCTCCTCCGTAGGATCACCCAGCTCCAGCTCCTCCATAGGATCATCGAAGTTCACCACCAACTTTTATTTTGTCTCACATTTCACCGAGAAATTATTTCATACGGACACCGCATGCATCTCTGTTACATACGAACACCGCATGCATCTCTGCATGCAGTGTCCGATCCTGACCGTAGATCATGGTGATCTACAGTTAGGATTATTTCCGTTTTTTTATAAAAAAAATTTAGGTGGAGCCCACCGAAATACATCGGGACCCGACTACGTGCGGTGTCCGATCCCTATCAAATAATTCTTCCATGTCACCCCACCGCTCAGTTTCCTCCTCAGCATTGTCATCCTTCTCGGGTCTTTTATAACAGATGCGCTCATCTACCTCCCCATCTTCGATCAACAAAAGCTTCGTCTTCTTCCCCTTATTCAGCTCCAAAGCGTTAGCCCTGTCGGCTAAATGCTTCTCCATCTCCATTGCAGCGAAGGATTTAGACAAGTGCTCTCAGTGTGGATATGGAGATCTCTTCCCGCGGAGGCCATTTATAATAAGCTCAGTAAGCTCCCCATTTTAACTCTCACTCCCGCAGACCCGCTCTTGCGGCTTATGACGTGTGCATTCATCCGCACATTTCGGCCGCAAGAATGGTTGATCGTTTTGTGAAGAATCGGGAATCCTCCTCCTGGCGAGTCTATCTTCATGTCTGCGCTGTAGCCTTCTACCCATTCCTCTGCGGCGGGTTCTCGGCTTAGCTCCCACAACGCTC